TCCCACCTCCAACGCCACCTGGACGGCCAAGACTTCAAAACTCGCGACGACGTCAAGAAGGCACTCGAGAACTTCTTCGAAGCCCCGGCCTTCTGGAGCAAGGGCATCCACGATCTGCCTATCCGGTGGCAGAAGGTCATCGATGAAGATGGAGCATATTTCAAGTGAACCCCAGTTGTCGTTAAAAAGTTGTACGATAAAGAAAAAATTTGTCAATTTGTCCGAATCATATCGACTCAACCTAATACTAGTTCTCCTTCCTCAGAAAGAGTGTTCTGTAGTAGTGCTTTCTATTCCATGAAGTAGGGGAAAGTATATTACTAGTTCTCCTTCCTCAGAAAGAGTGTTCTGTAGTAGTGCTTTCTATTCCGTGAGATAGGAGAAACTATACAGAACTCATATGGTATTACTCATTAATTTTTCAGGATGATTTACTAGATTTGAATGCTTTTATTCGAGATGATTTTGTCAGAAGGGGCTTGTCTTTTGAGACAGTCACTTTGCCATCGGAGCTAGCCGATGACTATGGATTTAACACGAGGTACGGTTTTGCTCGTTCTTTTAATGAGCCGCTTCGCTTCACCGTTTCCAAGCTTGACATCTTTTCTGTCATTTTTTGTTGTATTCACCGATAAATCGGAGATCAAAATGCATTCCCTCTCAGTTGTCGATACCTTTTCAAAAGGCGTCTTAAGTAGTCGAATGATTCGAAAACTCTGTTCAGTACAGCTACCATTCTCCACCACCGCTATCACAGTATCGTGTGCTGAGTATGAAGGGGTCTACAAGACTGGATGGGTTTGGCGCGGCGCCCCCTCCCTCCATCAGCTGTTGAAGCCAGTGAAGACAAAGCTGAAAAACGACTGGTACGAACGATATAATGCAATCGTACCACTTACTCGCTCCAGCAACTGATGGAAAACGAGTTTTACTCCACGCCAACCCCATTTGGCCTCCTTCGCCGGCCACTTCATCGACATCGATGAGACTGCAATAATTCCCTTTTCTGCCTGAATGTTGAAGTTGACCTCACCTCCCTTCTCATGTGCCGTTCTCTTCGATTCGCCTGAAAAATACATTGTTGAGGGGGCTCTCAAATTTTTGGTACTAATATCTGCAGTGAGGGGAGGGTAGTCACGCTTCTCATTGGTGCGGTCCTGGGTTCAAATCCTGCGTCGACCCCAGACTAAGCAGGAATTCCAGCCACCCTCCCCCACCTCCCGCGGAGCATTGCTACCAGGTTCGTCCGAGTAGAGAGGAACACTGACTTTACATCGGCTGGCCCGCCGCAACTCATTGTATAGGCCACATCGCATTCAATAAGCCACTACGATTCTGAATGGAAGTAGAATGCGTGCCGCATCCCACAAAGGGATTGATCAACGGCGAAGACTTATTCTTTTATCCTTTATATCTGCAGTAGTTGTCCTAAAGATTGTCCAATAATTAATTTGCTTAAGTTTTTTCTTGCAAAATTCCCTCATCTTTCACATACACATCAGTGTGGTCCCCTCTCCCAGATAAGACCTTGCTGAGGAATGCCCAGGGATGATGTGTGTTCCGATGGGATGGTGTTCATGATGAACTAATCATATTTTTTTCCAACTAGGAAAATCAACATGAAATCGCAAACAGCAGGAGTTTGACTTTTAGTGGATGTAAGGTCAGGCTATTTGAAGATCAGAATTTGTTTGTAATACTTATTGGTGAAAGCAGCGATCGTTCCACGGCTCATTCGGCATCGGAGGGGGTGGGGCATACTGCACAGTTACCTCTGAAAGGTTTCAAAGACTACTTGTTACACTTGTGAAGAGAACCTAAACTGAATTCCTGTAAAGCAATGAACACGACGATGGCAGGAAGCGAAAGTGCAAAAACCTCCCTCTCGAACGAAACAGCGCCCTATTCTCTCACTAAACTCGTGCTGTAATTAATTTTGAAGTGTTTTATTTTACGCCTTTATCAGAATCTTAAGAACGCTATTCATGAAAACGAAAGAATCATTTCAGTATGCGTCTATGTCGGTTAGGAGACTTTGTCACGACAGTCGACGGCCCGGTGATCTCTCGATCGGACCAAATTGGTCGGTTTAGCATTGTAAAGGTACGCGTTTTGTCCTCTATGTTTACAGTTTACTGTTTATTGACTTTCCCCTGAAGCTGATGTTATCCGTCTTGATAGTATAGCTGAACTGGTTGTGTGGGAGGGTGAGGTGTCAAGCAGCTCCCCACCATCGATTACTTGGTAGGTAACACCCCTTCTCGTACAAGGTAGCTGATCACGCTGTCCCCAGTGCCGTATACGTGGCTGAGAAGGGTTAGGTAGCCGTAATCAGTTGAGGTCATCTACTATAGGCGGTCCCATCCTCTAGCAATAACCTTTTCCGGAGATGAAAGGAGTTGGCAAGTACTTTGCTGTCTGTCGTCTCTCCGTTTTCTGGTTCTCTTATTTTTCGTTGCTGGTCTCTTGTCTCGCTCCCAGTATTCTCCATTTCTCGTTTCTTCACCTGTACCTCGAGCGCGCAAAATCAGCTCCATGAAGAAGGGTATTTTATGGTATCTCTCAACTCATTCGCTTTTTTCCCTTCACTGGTATGTCAATTAGTGCGTACAAGTTCATATCTTGCCTCACACCCAGGAACACGAGCACTAACAGCAAAACGGTCACGCTATTCGGCATTTAGCGCGCCGTCCTACCAGAGTACAAAGAGCGCCTAGCATTAAGTGTAAAAAGGACGTTCTTGGTGGGCGGTACATCTAGGAAATTAAACTGAACAAGGAAGGGCGCATACTAGTTGTTTCTGAGTATGTTCATGTTTTTATCTGAAAGTGCGAAAAAACAATAGCACACTCTTGCAGCAGCTTTTTGATATTTACAAAAATCTACGGTTATTTTTAGGCTCTGGCCAAAGAAGGTCTCACTCGCGTGGGAGGAGTTTCGCTTCCTGCTGCGCTGAAATGCTCGTCGTTTTCATGGGAAACGATAATGGATAATGCTAAAGATGTGAGTGATGTTTTCTCTTGCTTACCGTTGTTTATCGTGTTGCCCATGCATTTTTTTGAATTACGGTTTTTTTCAGAAGATAACGTGATGTGCTGAGGCTCTAAAGAATGTAGATATGTTGTTATATGTTGATAGGATCGTTTTTGTTACAATAAAGTCTTACATCACTGGCTACTCTTGTAGGATGTTTCCCTGTTTTTACTTTAATTTTTGCATGTACTATTCGTATCGTGGTCTGGAATGATTCCCTCAATTGTACCGTTTTACATCGATCATTTTTCGGATCGGATTCCGAAGCGCAATGTCCGTAGTATTCGTTTCTTATGCCAGTTACAGTGTGTTTTGGACTCATGGACCTTTCATTTTCCCGAATCTTGTCCAGAAGAGATTGACCAGCGCCAGTCAGATGGTAAGATCAGGTTATGATAGTCGTGGTTATATTTGATCTGTTTGGGTGTCGGAAGGAAGATCAGCCTTGCAGAGCCAGTTCGTTAGCTTTCCTGGACCTTAATTGGCAAGTCAGCTAACTTTCTTAATTAAAGGTTCATACTTTGCGGTGGCGTTCGCTCCCGTCTATCAGGTTTCTTCAAAGTTCCGAGCGTCCGGCAGCGTTAGCGACTAGGGAAATATACAGGGGGGGGGGGTGGGCCTATGAAAAAAGACACTTTTCTCCCTTGACTTTCGAGGCGCTTTTATTGAATTCTGATCGGACCTTTTTACTACCATATTAAAGAGCATATTAAATACTATCATGATACTCCGCCACAGCCTTCTGGACCACCGCCATCGAGAGATTCTGCCACGCAACCATGGTTCGGTGCCTGAGTTCAGCGAGATCGTTGATTTCTCCGCCACTGTAGACCACCCTATTGAACTCCGCCCGAACCAGGTAATTGAGGGGGTTTAGTTCAGGTGACCTGCTTAGATATTCCATCTTCTTCAGGTACTCAACGCCCTTCCATTCCAAGTAGGCGAGAGTTTTTCCAACGCCCTTCAATTTCATGTGGTGTCACCCAATCCTGTAGCAGTACAAAGTTTCCAAGAAGGTACGGGCGACGACATGTGGGAGGATATTCTTCTCGAGTTGCTCGATGTAACCGCCAGCGCTCACCTTCAGTCCGGGGTCCACGAAGAAAATATCGGTCTTTTCATTCCAATTATACTATGGCACGGAACTGATTACTCGTGGAATGCTACAGTCTGGGACAACTGTCATCTTGTTCTGTGTTGGACAGAGACACGACAACAATTGTGTCAAGATGAAAATATCTCACCAGAAGCATAGACACCTTCAGGTTAAGTTGAAACATGCGGCCACGCCTACCCGATCTCAGGAATTTCGAGTATACGTCTGGTCCATACCATCAACCCGCGCCTTGACGACTGTGGTGAAGATGATGTCCTAGACCGTAGCGACGTTGTCGGAGCTGCTCGATGTTGGAGGTCTTCCAGATTGAGAGTACTGGTCTCCAGGTAGCTATCCATGGGTGACTCCACACTAGAAGTTTCGCAGCTGTTTGGAGGTGACATGAATTCCAAAGGTCTTCTCCAGTCAGGCTGCGACTGGAGATGACTTCATATTTTGGTGTACATGAAGGTGATGGGCGAGAGCCAGCTCCTGCTTATAGAGGAACATCTTGGGTATCTTCCGCCCTGGTACTCGTATCCACGTCCTCTGTCTGGGCTGCGAAAATTTTGCTGATATGTAACTAGGTCAAAGTGTCTTTTTTATTCCTCCCCCAGTAGATATCGGTCTAGCGTCTGCCAGCGTTTCGAGGGCTAGGGTAGGCATAGATATCGATCCGGCGTCTGGTGCATTAGAGAGTATGGGGAAGTAGGAGGGTACCAAACAGCTGGATAGGCAGTCTGCACCGCACAACTGCCAAAGCCCAGAATTATGCAGTCACAGCTGCGGAAAAAAAACTTGGCCGTTGTTGCTGATATATTAGGCAACCAAAAAAAGTTCGTGCGGTTTTGAAGGTAGCGAAATAATAACATAAAAAACGGGTTAAACTTGGATTTATCCCGTAAAATAATTACCCTCAGCAAGTAATACACTTTCCCATTTAGACACAAGAACATATATTCCATTTTTGTAAAAATCTTGCTTCTGGGAATCAAAGAAATGTTTTAGTTCGTTGTCCAAAGCCACTTCATTTTCAAATCGCCGATTCCTCATGTGGTTGTCCAAGGCCAAAAACAGATGATAGTCACTTGGAGTCTGGCGAGTACGGAGGGTGAGGTAGAATTTCCCATCCTAGTCGCGCTATTGTTTCCTGAGTGATTCTTGCAGTGTGTGGTCTAGCATTGTCCTGGTGGAAAACCACACTTTTTCTGTTCGCCTTAATTGAAAGTAATCTAAATTAACAAATACACTGAATGACACTCCTTGACATATGTCTTAACATGTATTCAAAGTTACCCTACCACTAGATCCAGTTTACCGAATATGCTTCATAAAAGTAAACAAAAAACCCCTTTTTTGATTGCCTAATAATAACAATTATCCCGGGCGTACATTATCTATATCCTTTTGCGGCGGAAAGTTATGAGCTTGAGGGGAGTTGCTCCCGTGGCACTTCCTTTTTCAGCGAGTCCGCCTCCGCACGCCGCGCCGCGTTCATAGTGTGTCCTCCAGCAAAATAAATTATGCTACAGGAAGAGTAGCATGAAATGGAAGCTTTCATTGTCCACTTGTAAGGTCGTAGGAATCAG